TCCCCCTCTCCCTCCCTCCTCCCCTTCCTCCTCCTTTTGTCCTCCTCTTCTTCTGGTTTCAGTGCCTATCCTTTTCCTCCATCTCCTGTTTCTGCCGTTTCTCCTGCTCTTCTCTTGCCTGCTCTCCTCCTTCATGCCTACTCCTCTCCTCCTCCCTCATCGTGCTCGCAGATTTTCCTCGCGAGCGAGCTCAAAGTCAACATCACTCGCCACGAGCTTGTCCCCCAGCATTACGTCCTCACAGAGGAAGACAAGAAGACCCTTCTCAAAAGGTGTCCCTTCCTCCTGCTCCTCCTCCTCTCAACCCTTGCACCTTCTCCTCCTTCAAGGCCCTTGCCCCTGCTCCTGCAGCAGCAGCTGCTCTTCCCCTCCTTGTTCTACCCCTTCGTCCACTTCTTTCTTCTTCGCATCCTCCTCCTTCTCTCACAACTCTTCCTTCAGGTATCACTTGCAAGAGAAGCATCTTCCCCGCATACAGAAATCTGATCCCATCGCTCGCTATTACGGCCTTGAGGTCTCAACCGCTGCTGCTGCTGCTGCTGCTGCTGCTGCTGCTGCTGCTCCCTCCGCATCTTTTCTGATTTTTCCAACAGCGTCAGCATGTTCTCAAGATCATTCGCTACAGTGAGACTGCTGGGAAGTACGTGACCTACCGGCTCGTAGCTTGAAACTCCTCTTCCTCCTCCTCCCTCTCTCCCTTCTAGCCCCCCTTTGCTTCTTTCGCCTTGTCTTCAAGCAATCAACAAATTCATTCTGAATGTTAAAAATGTCTGGAGCACAACAAGAAACGGCGCATCGTCCTCATCAGACTGTTTCAATGAACGCGCAGAATTTAAAACACACCCTCCTCTTCCACCTCCATCACCATATTCCTGCTCCACCACCACCTTCCTCCTCCTCTCCACCTCCCATCATCTCTTGGTTCGCCTGCTGAACATCATTACACTTTCGCTGCGAGCTCCACCCTCCTCCTGCAGCTGCCCGTTCATCCCTCTGTCCTCCTTCCCGCCCCACCCCCCGTCCATCCCGCCAGACATCAGCAGCTCCCTCCTCATCTGCGCAGCTACAGGGCTAAGTCCCTCCCTCCTCTCCTCGTTGCTGCCGTTGACAAGGGAGAATGAGCCGTTGCGAGAGTTGAGCCCCAGAAGCTCCAAGAGAGGATGAGAACGGGAAGGGGATACAGCAGCTGCTCCGTCCATTCCGTTGACTCGCTGCACCAGCTCCTTCATCCCGGGCTGCACGGAGGAGGAATGGAGTCGAGCACCGTTGCTGCTCAACTTCACCTCCTCCTCCTCCTGAGGGAGCTCAAACCATTTCGTGACCGGGTGAGAGAGGGAGAGTGCCTCACTCCTTGTCCCTTCCCTCCCGTTCCCCTCCTCCTCCCGTCCGTTCCTCTGAGGCTGCAGAGCCTCAGCAACTTTCATACTGCGCAAGAGAGCAGCTTCTGTCATCCTCCTCCTCCACGGATCCTCCGCTGCCTCCACCTTCTCCTCGGTCCTCTTGGCCTCTGCCGCTCGGTCGGAGCTCCGGGAGGGGGTCTGCAGGTCTCCTCCGTGCTCTCCTGCACCGCTCGTGGCTTTCCCGTCCTTGTTCGCGCGTCCAGTGACGCTCACGAGGGTTGGCGGATTTTCTTCAGGCTGTGTGGCGCGATTGACGTTCATGGGAGGAGCAAGAGGGGAGGAGAGAGCAGGAAGGGAAGCAGACGGGACTCGAGGAGGTGAAGGAGGAGGCGAATCAGGAGGGGAGTGGTGAGAGGAAGCAGGGGGAGAGGCAGGGGGACGAGGAGGAAGCGCCGGATGGTAGTAGCCATGTAGCGGTTTCCCGGCCCTGAGGTTGGGATGGACCAGCCGAGGTTGAGCAGCGAAGGCGCTTGCGGCATGACCGTTGGCAGCCTCCTCGCTCTCACACGACGACAGTGTTGTGCTCTCTCCTGACGAGGCCTGCGCGCTCGCCCCCTCTGCCTCCTCCTGCAGCGATGGAGCGACCTTGACGGTACTTGCCCTGCTCGCTCCCCTCGCCCTCTTGCTATCCTCGTCCTCCTCCCCTCCCTGCAGCTTGTCCAAGATCCTCTCCATCTTGTCGCTCAAGGAGCTGAACCTCTCCTCCATCTTCTCCTGCAGATGCTGCACGCTCGAGCTCTTGTTGTGGGCAAGCTCGGCAACAATCCACTTCAAGCACAGCAGCAGCGATTCGTCCCTCCTGTTTGTGTCTTCAGCCCCTCCTCCTCCTCCTCCTCCTCCCCCTCCTCCTCCCTCACCTGTCCCCGGTCACGCAGGCCTTGTGAAGTCGCCGCAGGAGGTGCATGCGAAGCTGTTCCATCATGATGCCATGGAACTTGACCGAGTCGATCGCCTCATGGCTGCGGATCTCGTCGCCTATCAGTCCCTCCCAGTCGTCCTGCGTCAGCAGCACTCCTTTCTTCAGGTTTAGTTTGTTCAGCCCATCCACCAGCTCCTGGAACGTGATCGACCCCGACAGGTCTGAGTCCAGCGAGAGGAAGAGCGTGTTGATCGAGTCCTGCAGCTCTTCTGCCGACCTGTTCATCGCTAGCACGTCCAGGAGCGAGTCCAGCGGGTGGAAGTCAACCTCCGACGCTCTAGAGTAGGCTTGCTTCGCCCTCTCCTCCTCCCTAATCTTGCACATGCAGTTGAGGAACTCGTCCAATAGCACCGCAACCACAATGTTCATGAGCACGATCCCCTGCCGAAGTGGTCACGTCACCCCTCCTCTGCTCCTCCTCCTCTTCCTCTTCCAAGATCCTCCTGTTTCTGCTTCTCCACCTCCTCTTTCTGCGCCTACTCCCCTTGTCCCGCCGTCAGCTCAATCCCTCTCCCACTCAGCTGCTCCCCTCCCTCCTCCTCAGCCCTTCTGCTCCTCTATTCATTCTCACCGCTATCAGCATGTAGGAGGTGAAGAAGGCAGCAGCGAGTCTACAGATGATCTTAGTGATCAGAGGAGGCAGAAGAGAAGACTGAGAGCAGACAAGAGAAGAAAACGAATTCCACAGAATACATGACAACAGGACACGATGCGGAGAAAATGAAGGTGAAGGACGAGCAGGAGTGACCAGGAGGTCTACAAAGGGGGGGGAGGGGAAGAAAGGGAGGAGGGGAGAAGAAAGGGAGAGGGGAGAAGGGGGAGATGAAGAAAGCTTCACCCATCCACTTGCCCCGAGTCGTTTGGATTGATCCCACGGGCTATGCTACTTGCCCATGCGTCTCCAGTGCACACCTGATAGTGAGTTCAACTCAGGTCTTCCTCCTTCCTCCTTCCCCCTGCCCCTGACCACCACCACCACCACCACCTCCGTGCCTGCCACCATCTCACCTGGAACATGGTGAACATGGCAGACAGGAAGGTGCCGAAGGGCCCGGCTCCTCCTTCCGCCTGCGAGCAAACACGTCATGATCCTACCCCTCCTTTCCTCTGCTTCCTTACATCTGCAAAGAGATGCACTGCCAGGATCGCGTAGATGCACGTGACAAAGACTGCAAAACGGTCAATCATGTAATAGGAATAGATGAGAAGAGGAGGTAAAAAGTGAAGATAAAGGGGAGGAAGAGGGGAAGGGAAAGGGGAGCAAGGAGGAGGAAGCGGTGGTAGTGCTGCTGCTGGTGGAGGAGTAGGCAGAAGAGGAAGAGGGAGGCCCGAAGGAGAGTCGGGATGGTCCAGGGCAAAAAGCTAGGTAGGTGGAGGTGGAGAGATGTTAAGAGCAAGGGATCGTACAGAGGAAAACGAAGGAATGGAGGACAGGGATGATTGAGACTGAAAGAGCTGTGATGATCATTCTAAGTTGCCCCACTCGCTGCAAGAGTTTGATCTACGCAGGGATGGTAAGACAAGCAACGTGTCACAGGATCGCTCTACCGCTCTGAAGATTCGCACAAGACGGAGAGGATTGAGAGCTGCGAGCTTTTCAGGGCAAGAACACAATACAACCTCCAGCACCCCCTCCCCCCTCTTGCCCTGTGCCCTCTACTATCCAGTTTACTTGTCCCTGGCCGCTCGATTCTATCGCACCCATTCAATTCTCTTCCCCTCCTACTCTTGTTCCTGCTCCTGCTCCTGCTCCTGCGCCTCCCTCTTTCCTCGTTGCCCCTCCCTCTTTCCTCGTACCAGGAATCCCATCAACGAACATCGCGACAAGAGACACCGAGACAATGATCAGGTCAAAGACGTTCCATGCAGACCTGCCAGCGACGATCAGCACAGGCAGCCGAGCAACACAACGAGCTATCACTTCCAAAAGTCCCAGAACCAGTAGGCAAACAGAGCCAGCGCGAGCTCAGCAGCAAACAGGTACGTGAAGCACATCTCGAGGGTGTCCATGAGGTGGGCTGCGTGTGAGGAGGGGTCCACATTGAGCTGAACTTCAACAGCCGAAAGGATGAAGCTCGCAACAACAATGAGGCCCGACACCTTCTGCATTGTGTCGCTGGCATGTAATTTCCTTGCCCTGTACCTCAACCTCTCTAACAGGCTGCTTCCTTTCATCCCTTTGGCGATCTGCCCATGCTTTGCACCGGCGGCCTTGATAGCTTGCTCCCACTCATCCGCTTCCTCCCGCGATTCGGCCCTGAACAGGTACCTGCACAGCACAGACAGTTACTGCCGCGGAGTCAACCCTCCCCCATCCGACTCACTTGCGCCCCACCAGCCTCCCGCGCAACGTCGTCACGATCTCGAAGCAATGGAAAGTCTTCATCGACTCAACTTGCTGGTTGTGCCCGCTGATGTCGGGCTGTGACTTGGGCGTGTCGTCGAACATCGACCTGAACGACTTCCTCTTCGACGTCGGCGCCTTCTCTGTGTTGTAGCGGATGCCCAGTACCCCGTCGCTCTCGAACCGAATGACGTCCTCAATGTCGTCCAGGAAGATGTTCTCCGATGCTTTGTTGACATCCTTGCCTTTCCCGATACTGAGTCGGTCAGCGAACAGTGACAGGTAGCTCTTGCGCCAATCCGGCTGTCTGCCAAGGTAGGTCATCTTGTCTACATTTCCTTTCCGGATGACGGTCTTTTCCAGCTCCTCAGCTGTCTCGTACTCCACCTCGTCCGTCACCACCTGCTGTGCCCCCTGCCGCCGCAGTGCGATGATAACAGCAGCCATGTCTGACTCTTCTTCTCTTTCAAGAGCTCGCCGTCTTCATGTCCAGGTCCTCGACGTCTTCACTCTGTGCTGTCTTCCGTACCTCAAAGATGGTCCAGTACCTGCCAAGAGGCTCAATCGCCGATCTTCCTCCTCTCATCGTCATGTCGTCGAACCCTCATCTCCTACCATTAGCTGAGTCCATCCTACCCATCGTCTTGTCATCGCCACCTATTCTCTCCTGCCATCGCTGCTCCCTCGAGTCATCACAAATCTTCCTTTCAAGCTTCTCCCGTCTCGCTGCTTCCCCCCATCCCCTCAGCACAGTTGTGCGACGAACACTACTCTCCTTCATTCTACGAGCATGCTCGCTCCCCCTGCACTTGCTCCATCCTTCTCCTCCTTCCTCTCTACTTCCTCTTCATGTCCCCGGAGCTGATCGTGCAAATCCTCCTTGCATTCGTGAAAGATTGATCGACCATAGTATACTCCTATTGTACACATCATCTTGTACACATCCTCTCCTCTCCTCTACACTCG